CATCATTCCAAATTCTCTCAGATTTTCTCAGGTTGTGTCAGATTCTTTCGAACTCTCTCAGACTCTTTCAGACTCGCTCACATTCTCTCAAATTATTTCAAATTTTCTCAGATTCTTTCATCTCTTGACAGATTCTACGAAATTTTTTTCAGATTTCTCCAGAGTTTCCGTATTCCTTCTGATCCTTTCAGGTCTTTACTGATTGTTCCACATTTCCTCAGATTCTTCACAATTGTTTTAAATTCTCTCAAATTGTCTCAGATTCTTTCAAACTCTCTCAAATTCTCTCAGACTCTCCGAGATTTTCTCTGGTTGTCTCAGATTCATTCAGATTCTTTCAGGATTATTTTAGATTCTTTACGATTTTGCCAGATTTTTCGAATTAGTACATCGAGATTTATGAACAGCCCAGAATTTTTTGTGAATTTTTAGACAATTTTTTCAGAAGTTAAATTTTTAAGATTCCCCTTTTTTCGACAAGTTTCAAAAATTACCGAAATATATTTTTGTGTGTTTTTCGACTTTCAGAACCTACATTCAGTCTTATTTCTACGAAAACTCCAACCATTTTTTCAGAATTGTCCAATGAAATATGGCAAGCAATTTTTTTATTAAAAAAATAATTCAAACAAAATATTTTTTATTTTTCTAACAAGTTTGTGAGGACTCCTGCTTTATTAAAATTTCGACCTTTTTTCGACAAGTTTAAGAATGTACTTAAAGAGATTTGGGTGCCTATTTAGGCAATTTTGTAGATTTTTTTTTTAAATTAGTTTCAAACCGAATAATTCTAAAATCTTGCTCCAGGTTCACAAATATGCTATAATTTTCGAATTAGTACCTCGAGATCTATTTTCTAATTTTTTTTGTGTATTTTTAGAGAACTTTTTCAAAAGCTTAAATTTTCAAAATTCCTCCAGAATCTTGCGATGAAAGTTTTTTTTTGGATTTTTAAAATATTTTAAACCGAAAATTTCCAAAATTTTAGACAACTTTTTCAGGAGCTTCATTTTTCAATCCTCCTTCAGTCCTTCTGAAAATTTCGATTATTTTCGATCATTTTTGAAAATTACCTGAAGAAACTTTTTCTGTACATTTTAAACCTTCGCAAGATAATTTCGGCGGCATTTCATCGAAAACTCCTCCTATTTTTCCAAAATCACCCAAAAAATGGAATTCTTTGATTTAAAAAAAATGTTTTCCAAACAAATATTTTTTAAAATCTTATCGCTGAATCAGAAATACGCTATATTTTTCAAATTAGTACATCGAGATCTTCATCCTCGATTTTTTTGTGGAATTTTAGACAAAAGCTCAATTTTTCAGTGAAAATTTCAATTTTTTTCGACAAGTTTGAAAAATTACCTAAAAATATTTTTGATATATTTTAACTTCCAGAGCTACTTTAGACCTTATTTTTTAATTCAGTACGTCGAAATTTATATCCGAGAATTTATATGTGAATTTATTGACGATTTTTGGAAAAGTTCAATTTTTTAATTTGAAAATTTTGACCTTTATTCGCTAAGTTTTAAAAACTACCTAAAACGACTTTTTTGTAAATTTCGCCGCCTAGAAGTTAGTTTGAGTCTCATTTCTTCGAAATCTCCGAGCTCCGACCATTTTTTCGGAATCGTCAAATGAATTATTGCAATATTTTTGGATTAAAAAAATATATTTAATCCGAAAATTTTTAAAATTTTGCTTCGGGATCACAAATGTGCTATATTTTTCAAATTAGCACATCGAGATATTTCCAGAAATTTTTGTGGTTTTTAAAACAATTTTTTTCAAAAACCCAAGTTTTCAGCTTTTTGAAAATTGCGATTTTTTGGCAATCTTTAAAAATTACATCGAGAAATTTTTTTTGTGTATTTCAGCATCCAGAAGTTACTTTCGGACTCATTTCTTCGAAAACTCCAACCATTTTTCCAGAATCGTTCAATAAAATGTGACAATTTTTGGATTTTTTTTAAAAACATATTTTCAAACCGAATATGTATTTCTAAAATCTTGCCCCAAGATCACACATAGGTAATTTTTCAAATCAGTACTCCGAAATCTATAACATAACCCAGTTTTTTTTGTGGATTTTTTGACGATTTTTCCAAAAACTCGATTTTTTTGTTTCTCGAAATGATGAAAATTTTGTCTTTCACTTTTTTGGCAAGCTTAAAAAATTACTCCAGAAGCAACTTTCGGTCCCATTTCTACGAAAATTCCGACAACTTTTCCAGAATCTTGAGATGAAATATATGGATTTTTGGATTTTTTTTTGGATTTAAGAAAAAAAAATGTTCAAGTTCAATATTTTTAAAATTTCGCACTGGAACCGCAAATATCCTTTATTTTACGATTCAGTAAGTAGAAATCTAAACATATCACAGATTTTTTTGACAATTTTTTCAGAATCTCAATTTTTTAATTTGAAAATGTTTACAATAACCTTCAAAAATTATCTAAAGAGATGTTTTAGTGTATTTCGACCTCAGGAAAATACTTTCGCACTCATTTATTGGAATATTTCTAAAATTTTGATTCGGATTCACAAATACTCTATATTTTACGATTCAGTGCGTCGAGATCTATAACCCATAATTTTTTTGCGGATTTTGTTAATTTTTTCAAAAGCTCAATTTTTTTACGAAAATTTTGTCTTTTTTCGGCAAGCTTCAAAAATTACCTAAAAAGATTTTTCTGTGTATTTTGACCTCCAGAAACTACCTTCGGTTTCATTTCTACTAAAACTCCGACAACTTTTCTAGAATCTTGCGGTGAAATATAGGGATTCTCTGAATTTTTTGGGTAAGAAAAAAATAATTTTAAATTGAATATTTCTAAAATCTTGCACCGGACAACAAATGGAAAATCACAGAATTTTTTTGTCGATTTTTGACATTCTTTTTAGAAGCTCAATTTTTTAATTTGAAAATCTTGACAACAACTTTCAAAAATTACCTAAAAGAATTTTTTCTTTGTGGATTTCTACCTCTAGAAGTTACTTTGAGCCTCATTTTAAATCGAAAATTTCTAAAATCTTGCCCTGGAATCACAAAAATTTTCTGGATGTTTAGACAACTTTTCCAAAAGCTTAATTTTTCAATACTCCACCTTCTAAAAAATTCATTTTTTTTTTCATAGCCTTAGAAAATAAGCTGTAGAGATTTTTTTTACATTTTGGACCTTCAAAGACAATTTCGGTCTCATTTCGTCGAAAACTCCCACCGTTTTTCCAAAATTTTCATTTCTATGAAAACTCCTACAATTTTTCTAGATTCTTGCGATTCAATTTTTCGGATTAAAAAGAAAAATATTTTCATATCATAAACATATAATTTCTAAAATTTTGCACCAGAACCACAAGTAGCTTATTTGTGGTCCCGTTGCGAAGTTAGCCCAGAATTTTTTTATGCATTTTTTGACAATTTTTTCAATGGCTCGATTTTTTAATACTTATGAAAATTTTGACTTTTTTCGACAAGCTTCAAAAATTACGTAATAAGATTTTTGTCTGTATTTTGACTTCCAGAAGCTACTTTCGGTCTCCCTTCTGCGAAGGAACACTCCGACAACTTTTCCAGATTCTAGGATTTTTTGGATCTTTTGGATAAAAAAGACAACTTTTTTAAAATCTTGATTTTTCAATACTTCCCTTTTGAATTTGGATTTTTTTCGATCACCTTCGAAAATTACCTGAACAGACTTTTTTGTACATTTTGGATCTCCACGAGATAATTTCGCCTCATTTCGTCGAAAACTTCTAATATTTTTCCAAAATCACCCAAAGTAGTTACATTTTTTGAATTAAAAAAATGTTTTCCAACCAAATATTTTTTAAAATCTTATCCCTGGATCAGAATTACACTTTATTTTTCAATACATCGAGATCTACATCCTAGAATTTTTTGGTGGAATTTTTAGACAAAAGCTCAATTTTTCAATGAAAAATTGCGAAAATTTCGACCCTTTTTCAACAAGTTTCAAAAATTACCTAAATATATTTTTTTTTTGTAATTCGATCCAAAAAGTTATTTTCGTCTTCATTTCTTCAAAAACTAAGACTATTTTTTCAGAATCGCCCAATGGAATATGACAATTTTTAAATTTTTTGAAAAACAAAAAAAATTTAAACCGAATATTTCTAAAATCTTTGTCCAGGATCACCCTTATTATTTTACAAATCACTACGTCGATATCAACACAGCCTAGAATTTTTTGGCCGATTTTATGACAATTTTTTTAAAGCTCAATTTTTTCAGTGAAATTTTTTTTTTTGACAACCTTCAAAAATTACAAAAAAATGTGTTTGGTATATTTCAACCTCCAGAGCTACTTTCGGCTTCATTTCTGCGGAAACTCCTACAATTTGTCCAGAATCTTGGAATTCGATTTTTGGATTTAAAAAAAATATATATTTTTAAATCGAACACTTTTAAAGCTTTGTACCGGGACCACCAATGCGCTATATTTTACGATTCAGTACGTCCAAATTTTTTTGTGAATTTTTGACAATTTTTTCGAAAGTTCAATTTTTTAAATCAAAATTTTGACCTTGTTTCAACAATTTTTTTGTGTATTTCGTCCTCTAGGAGTTACTTTCGGTCCCATTTTTTCGAAAAGGCGAATTTTTAAACAAATTCTTTCAACCATTTTCGAAAATTACCAAAAAAAAATTTTTGACTTTCTCAAAATTAGTTATTTTATTATTTTGTCTCTTTTTGAAAACCTAACCTTACTGTGTAGATTGCGGTGTTGGTGCATATTTCGAACATCAGCAGAATATAGTGTCAAAAAACAAAATTTTTAGTAGAATATTAGAACACACTTTATTTAAAAAAATCGTTTAAATAATGAAGTGAATTTTTCTCAGTCTTAATTTAATTGAACGCATGAACCCTTATCTAAAATGGAACTAAAAAAATCAAAACACTACTAAATGGTATAAGTCAAAAGCATTCATTTATTTGTACAGAAAAATCATTTCATTTAAACACACCTACTGTCCATCCAGCCCCAGATGTCTCGGCGACGCCTCCCAGAAGCACTTATACAACAAATACGCCGTCTCGTCCGCATTCCCCCCCTTCTTATCCTTGCAGGCGAAAAACACCTTCATCGCCTCGTCCCTTTTCATATCTTTCGGCACTTTGGTCTTCAGCACGTCGACCTGCAGCTGCCCGGCCTGGTTTATCACTCCCACCGAACGCATCATGCACCCGAAATACTTCTGGACTTCCGGCTCGCCTGCGAACTTCCCGGAGCGAGCCTTGGAGACCTGGTCCGGTTTCGCTCCGGACGAGCTCAGGCAGTTTTTGTTGTACTGCTCGAGCTTGGCCTTCTGCTCGGGGGTGAGGCTGGCGGCCTGGAATGAGAGTGTGACTTTTTGCGCGGTGGCTGGGGGGAGTTACCTTGAGGGCGTACAGAGTGGAAGTTAGCAGGAGAACGGCGAAAGTTAGACGCATGTTGGGGTAAACGGAATGCCCGGAAATGGGTGAGATTTTTATTTATATAGTAAGCGGGAGGAAATTGTGATTAGGTAAGGGCGATTATGGTTATTTGGTGATCAAGGTTTTTGATTAGGAAAGTTGAGTCGTGGCGGAAGTGTGATGATTGCGGGTTTTGTGAGAGTAATGGTGGGTATTTTGGAGAGTGTTTATTATTTGGCGATTTGGCTTATTAGTGTCGAGAACAATTGGGGCGGTGATGGATTTTTATTCGTGGTCGTTTATTATGGGAAATTATGGTGTATCCACGACCAACGACTACGAAAATTCCGTGAACTATGTAGTTTTTGAAAATAATATCAATAATAATCAAGTTAGTTATAGAAATTATTAATTTTAATATTGATTTCCACCAGTAATCAGTAGCTGTTTTTCAGTATGATTTTTTTACACTTCAATCAATATTACAAATTGATATTCTAGTGTAGGTGAAATTACTTTGATACAAAATTTGACCCCAACATTGTTGTGTAATAAATAATCTACAAACAAAGTTTTAAGGTTTCTATTCAAAACATATATGCCTGGTCGGAATTATGTTTAACCGAAGGAGCGCCGAGAGTCTAGAAAAATCCTGGTACCGGAGAGTTCGAGAAACCGAAGCTTGTCAAATGTGACTTAAGTCCAGAAATAGTCGAACTCGATTAAAAAAATAAGTTGTCTTATAAAAAAGTCTTTAAGTTTGGAAAATAATTCGTTTAAGTATTGATTGAATTGAGGATCTAATTATTAAAATAGGTTGGGGAAGATTCTGCAATGATTCTATTTGAAAGCTGGAGAGAAAAAATTGTTCATGTGAATTAAATAGATTTCAAATAGATTTTGTTTAGAGAAGAGAAGAGCTCAGAGAATTTCTGTTGAAATAGAAATTTGAGGAAGAAAAAGGGATGGTGTTTGATAAAGATTCTAAAATATTGGACTAAGAAGAAATTCGTATTTAAGAAAGAATCTAGCAGACGTATAATAGAGAAATTTCTGACACATCGTGTTTGAAAATGACAATATTTTGTCAAACAACAGTTTTATCGTTAAGTAAACTGTCAAAAAAGAGTTTTACATGTAGTTCTAGAAAGTTACAACACAAATGAGAATCGGAATTAGAATAGGAAAAGAAATGAAAACGAGAATGCAAATGGAAGTGAAACCGAAAACGAGAATGAGATTGCGAAAGGGCAATGGAAACTAGAATGAGAAAAAGAAAAAGAAAAAGAATTTTCAGCCAAGTGTTCCCAACTTATCTTTGAAATAAAGAAAATCATTTCTAAAACGATGGAGCTACAAATAATGAGAGTACAATGAGGATGAAAGTGAAAGTGAAAATAAGGACAAGTGGCAGAAAGGAATAGAGAACGAGAATAAGCGCAAGAGCGAAAGAAAGAATGACAAAAAGATTAAAAACAACAATAATAGGATGATATCGAAAATGTTTATTAAAACGAGAATGAGAATCACAAAAGGAAGAAACACTGGTATTAAAACAAGAGTGAGCACTGGAATGAGAACAGAGTAAGAATGGGAACAAGAACAAAAATAAAGAAGAACGACAAGAGAATCAAACTGAGAATGAGAACAAGAGCGCAAATGAGAACGACAATGAGAATAAGGGCTAAAATATGAATGAGAAAGGGATTAAAAGCGAGAATAAGAATAAGAATGAAATGAGTACTAAAACGAGAACACAAACGGAACAAACACATAAATTAAAGCAAGGATAAACACCGGAACGAGAACAGGAAAGAGAATGAGAACAAAAACCCAAATAAGAACGAGACACAAGGTGAGAATGTGAACCGAATGAGAAGATAAAAATCAGAGGAAAATATAAAAAGAGAACGAGAAACAAAAATGAGAAAGAAATTAAAAACGATAATAAGGATAATAATGAAAATAAGTATTAAAACGAGAATGAGAATCACAAAGGGGAGAAACACTGGGATTAAAACAAGAGTGAGCACTGGAATGAAAACAGAGTCAGAATGGGAACGAGAACAAATAAAAGAAGAACGACAAGATAATCAAACTGAAAATGAGAACAAGAGCGCAAATGAGAACGACAATGAGAATAAGGGCTAAAGTATGAATGAGAAAGGGATCAAAAGCGAGAATAAGAATAAGAATGAACATGGGTACTAAAACGAGAACACAAACGGAATAAACACATAAATTAAAGCAAGGTTAAACACTGGAACGAGAACAGGAAAGAGAATGAGAACAAAAACCCAAATAAGAACGAGACACAAAGTGAGAATGTGAACCGAATGAGAAGATACAAATCAGAGGAATATATAAAAAGAGAAGGAGAAATAAAAATGAGAAAGAAATTAAAAAAGACAATAAGGATAATAATGAAAATGAGTATTAAAACGAGAATTAGAATCACAAAGGGAAGAAACACTGATATTAAAACAAGAGTGAGCACTGAAATGAAAACAGAGTAAGAATGGGAACGAGAACAAATAAAAGAAGAACGACAAGAGAATCAAACTGAGAATGAGAACAAGAGCGCAAATTAAAACGACAATGAGAGTACGGGCTAAAATAAGAATGAGAAAGAGATTAAAAGCAAGAATATGGACAAGAATGAACATGGGTACTAAAATGAGAACACAAACGGAATAAACAAATAAATTAAAGCAAGAATAAGCACTGCAACGAGAACAGGAAAGAGAATGAGAATGAGAACAAAATCCCAAATAAGAATGAGATCCAAAGTGAGAATGGGAACCGAATGAGAAGATAAAAAGCAGAGGAGGATATAAAAAGAGAACGAGAACGGAAAATAAAAATGAGAAAGAAATAAAAAACGACAATACGGATAATAATTAAAATGAGTATTAAAACGAGAATGAGAATCACAAAGGGGAGAAACACTAGGATTAAAACAAGAGTGAGCACTGGAATGAGAACAAAATAAGAATGGGAATGACAGCAATAATCAGAATGAAGTTGTTAAGAAGTTTGTGGACGACGTTGAGGACGAAAATGAGAATCAGCATAAAAATGAAAATGAAAACAAATATGAAAACAATAATAAAGGAGATCTACCAGAGAAATAAGAAAGAAAAGCCAGGATAAGCACTGGAACGAGAACAGGGAAAAGGACGAGAATGAGAACAATAAATAATTAGAACGAGAATAAAATAAGAACAAAAATGCGAACAAGGATAAAAATGAGAATGAAAATTATTATAAGAACAAGAATAAAAGAAAAAGACAAGAGAATCAAAATGAGAATGAAAATAAGAACCCAAATAAGAACGAGGAAGAAAATGAGAATTTGAACCCTAGTGAGATGATAAAAAGCGGAAGAGAAGAAAGAAAGGGAACGAGAACGAGAAATAAAGATGAGAAAGAGAGCGAGTGAGAACAAAAGAATGAGAATGAGTATAAGAGCTAAAATAAGAATGAAAAGCAACAATTAGGATAAAAATGTAAATAGGTACTAAAACAAGAATCACAAACCGGACAAACACATGCATTAAAGTAAGGATGAGCACTGGAACGAGAATAGGAAAGAGAACGAGAATGAGAACAAAAATTAAAACGAGAGTGAAAGCGAGGCCAAAAATAAGAACAATGACAAAAATGAAAATGGAAGTAAGTATGAGAACACAAATAAACGAGAAAGACAAGAGAATTAAACTGAAAATGACAACAAGAAACCAAATAAGAACGGGAAACACAATGAGAATGAGAATCACAAAAGAAAGAAACTAAATAAGAACGGGAATGAGAACAAGAGGGCAAATAAGAACGATAATGTGAATAAGAGCTAAAATAAGAATGAAAAGCAAGAATAAGGATAAGAAGGAAAACGAGAATCACAAACAGGATACACACATGAATTAAACTAAGGATGAGCACTGGAACGAGAACAGGAAAGAGAACGAGAATGAGAACAATAATAATTAGAAGGAAGAAGGTAAGAAATTTGTGTACGACGTTGAAGATGAAAATGAGAACAATAATTAGAATGAGAATGAAAACTAGAACAAAGGATAAAACTCAAAATGGAATTCAGTATAAGAACAAGAATAAAGGAGAAAGACAAGAGAAACAATGTGAAAATTGAAATCAGAAAAGAATACAGAATGAGATTGAGAACGAGAAATAAATATGAGAAAGAAATTAAAAACGATAATAACAATAATAATGAAAATGAATATTAAACCTGTAACGAGAATCACAACGGGGAGAAACACTAAGATTAAAATAAGAGTGAGCACTGGAACGAGAACAAAGTGAGAACTGTAATGAGAACAATAACCAGAATGAAGTTGTTAAAACGAGACCAAAAATAGGAACAAGGGCAAAAATGAAAATGGAAATAAGTATGAGAACAAAAATAAAGGAAAAAGACAATAGAATTAAATTGAAAATGAGAACAAGAAACCAAATAAGAACGAGAAACACAATGAGAATGGGAATCCGGATGAGAAGATAAAAGCAGAAAAGAGAACGAACACGAGAAACAAAGATGAGAAAAAAATTAAAAAAACACAATAAGGATAATAATGAAAATGAGTATTAAAACGAGAATGAGAATCACAAAAGAAAGAAACACTGGGATTAAAACAAAAGTAGGCACTGGAACGAGAACTAAATGAGAACGGGAATGAGAACAAGAGGGCAAATAAGAACGATAATGTGAATAAGAGCTAAAATAAGAATGAAAAGCAAGAATAAGGATAAGAATGAAAACGAGAATCACAAACAGGATACACACATGAATTAAACTAAGGATGAACACTGGAACGAGAACAGGAAAGAGAACGAGAATGAGAACAATAATAATCAGAAGGAAGCAGGTAAGAAGTTTGTGAACGACGTTGAGGATGAAAATGAGAACAATAATTAGAATGAGAATGAAAACTAAAACAAAGGATAACAATGAAAATGGAATTCAATATAAGAACAAGAATAAAGGAGAAAGACAAGAGAAACAATGCGAAAATTGAAACTGGATGAGAAGATAAGAAGCAGAAGAGAATAGAGAATGAGAATGAGAACGAGAAATAAAGATGAAAAAGAAATTAAAAAAGACAATAAGAATAATAATGAAAATGCGTATTAAAACTATAACGAGAATCACAAAGGGGACAAATACTAGGATTAAAACAAGAGTGAGCACTGGAACGAGAACAAAGTAAGAACGGGAATGAGAACAATAACCAGAATGAAGTTGTTAAAAGTTTGTGGACGACGTTGAGGACGAAAATGAAAATCTGCATAATAATGAAAATGAACACAAATATGAGAACAAGAATAAAGGAGAACAACAAGAGAATCAAACTCGGAATAAAAACAAGAGCGCAAGTAAGAACTAGAATGAGAATAACTAAGAGCTAAAAGAGGAATGAAAAGCAGGAATAAGGATAAGAATCACAATGGGTACTAAAACGAGAATCACAAAGGGGATAAAAACAAGAATTAATGTAAGAATGAGCACTGGAACGAGAACAACAAAGAGAACGACAATGAGAAGAATAATAATCACAATGAAGCAGGTAAGAAGTTTGTGGACGACAATAATTAGAACGAGAATAAAAACGACAACAAAAATGAGCAGAAGGATAAAAATAAAAATGGAAATAAGTATAAAAACAACAGAGAATCAAACTGATAATGAGAACAAGAATCCAAATACTTAAGAACGAGAAACAAAATGAGAATGGTAACCCGGATGAGAAGATAAAACCAGAAGAGAATAGAGAAGGGAATGAGAACGAGAAATAAAGATGAGGAAGAAATTAAAAATAACAATAAAGATAATAATGAAAATGAGTAGTAAAATGATAACCACAAATCTGAAAAACACGAGGATTAAAACAAGAATGAGCACGTATATTAACGAGGACAAGAATGAGAACGAGAATGGGAGCAATAACCAGGATGAAGCTGACAAGAAGCTGGTGGTCCACAATGAGGACAAAAAAAAAGAGAATGAAACGAGAATGAGGCTAAGATTGAAAATGGGAACGGGAACTGGAATGATACGAAAATACGAAAAGGAATGAAAATGAGAATTGAAATGAACATGGATTAAAACAAGAATGAGCAATGAGGCGAGAACAAGAATGAGAACACGGAGGAGAACAAGAATCAGAATGAATTATAGCACGAAAACGATAAGGAGAACGAAAGTGAGAATACGATGAAAATAGAAACGTGAACAAATATACGAGTAAGAACAAGGAAACGAAAAACAATGAGAAAGAAAACTATAACGAAAATAAGAATGAGAACAAAGTTGAAAATGAAGAATCAGAATAAAGGTGAGAAGAGGACTGTGAACGACGTTGAAGGCGAGATTTGGAACGATGATGCAAATGAAAATAAGAAAAAGTTTGAGAATGAGAACAATAAAAACGAAAGAACTGTTAGCGATTTAAAAAAAAATGGTGAAAAATATCTCTGCTCTCCGAAAATTAATTAATACTTGCAAAGGGAAATGAGAGCTGAAACATTTTATATCCTGGTAAGACAGTAGCGATGGAGTAACAAATAAAGATTTAGTCGAAGAAATGAATGAAAGAGGACACAATAATATGAAGCTCGTAGACAGAGAATAAAGCATGAAACCATGGTAACTTCAATTCTAAAGGTAGGTAGTTGAAATAAAACGCATAAGAGAACAAGTAAAACCCACAAACAAGGAATGAATAAAACAAGAGAGACGCCATCTCAAAGGGAAGGATGAATGGGTCTAAAACCAAGTGGATTTTGGCGATAACTTGATGAATGAAAAAAGACAAATGGAGAGACGGAGCAAACGAATCGTGAACTGCATCACAAGTAGTAAAAGTTTTAAACTCATGTTATTTTTCGTCTATCTATAATAAATAATAATCTACTTAGTAGCAATTTTGCAACACCACCCCTCCACCTTTCCCTATTACACTCAAGTCGATATAAACCCGCCCGCAACCCTCCTCATCAGAATTCCATCCCGATATTGCAATATCCCTCAGTACATGCAAAACCGTGCCATCTTCCCTAAATATTTATCGCATCAATGCCGCCAACCTAATAAACCAGACGAGCATCTAAATGAGGCGTGCGGCAAGGCCGCGCACCAACACCCTTGTATTTTCCCGGTAATAAAATAACAAAGAAACGCTCCACGACGGGGAAGTTTATACTTGATCTCCCGAGCTCGCGCTGTAAGTGGTGCGAATGTGAGCAATAAATCTAGTGGCCGGCTAAAATGGCGGAGACTGAAATGTGACCATGTGGAAGGGCTCCATTGGGAACTGTTGACGTGGAAAATGGAACAGGCACAATAATTTTTTACTTAATTTAGAATCAAATTTTATTGGAGTCTCGAGAAATTTTTATTTCATTCCACCGGAGAAAAATCCGGGAGCTCCTTGTACAAACACCGGGTGGCTTTGTACACGGTGTCTTCCTGTGTGGTTTTCTTCACGACGCACTTTTTGAAGACCGTTTCTGCTTCTTCTTCAGTGCTTGTGGCCGCTTTTATCCTCACTTTTAGAGCGTCGTTGTTAATTTCGCCACCTTCGTTCGCTAAACCCAGTCTTTTGAAGACGCAAAGATACCCAGATTTTAGTCGAGGGTCGGGTTCTTCGTTTTCTGTTGAGACTGGTTCAGGCACTTCATGCTTTTCTTTGCAGGGTTTAACGTGTTTGTCGAGATTTTCTCTCTGTTGATCTGTTAAGGCCTGTTGTATGAGTGTAAAGTAGTGAAAATCGTAATTGTAAAATCCTTACCAGGGTTGATACTAAAAGGGTAGCTAAAACCACCAGGAGCTTCATTTTGACTGATTGTTGTTAGTGTTGATAAAAAAAGACTGAGTGAAACGCACTCATTTCAGAGTTTATAAGCGAAATTTTATCACTGTTGTTATGCAGAATCACTTTTTTCTTTGAAAGGTGAACAATAAGGTCAATTTTAAAAACTTTGGTAAATACTTACGCGATAATTTGTAACAAATAAATTAAATTAACTTCAAGAAAACTAAAACAAAAAACAGATGGCAACTGAAGAACAACCCTTTCGCTTCTAAAAATCCCCCATGACTTATTTCTATTTATATCCACCCTTCCACTCGTCTCTTTTTCGTTTAATTCATTCACACTGCGTTCCCTCTAAATTCCGAACTTGGCTTTTACTCTAATGAGGGTGTGTCGAGCGATTCACTTTTAAGTCTGAAATGGGTCTATTCATACTAATGTAGCTCTGAATGAAATGAAGGGTGGAAATAATGTACTTTGTTGGCGTAGTCGTCGAGATTTTGTAATCTTTGTCGTTAAAATAATGCACGACTTTTGCGGTTTAATTTATCATAATTTATTATGGAAATGTAGTGCTGAAACGGGTTCTGATAGCCGATGATAAATAAGCGGAACGAGCTGTTGTGTAAGAGGTATTGTTGTGAATTAATGGGATTGTTGCTTCTGAGAAAGAGATGATCGTAAAGATTGGATTTTGATTGAGAAACGTAGAATTTGTAATCGAGTGATCAGTTCAATTCACCACTAAAAGCTATTGATTGACAGTTAAACATACGTTTACACGTAATGTACTATCATCATGGACATTTTTTCTCTAAAACTCTTTCCCATCGATTCGGTTTGGTTAATGTCAAAATCAATAAAAGCCTTCGTACAAGATTTATTACAATCGGGATAAAGCTGTACGCAAACACTTCATTGTACTCAGAGTCAATAATTTTGAGCTGACGTCATCAAAAATTTGGTGGGGGTGACCCGTGTCGTAAAATACTTTCGACAATGGTTACTACATTAAAGACAAAGTTCTAAAAGCTCCAAGTTTGTCGTTTACAGCAATTTGTGCGGTTATTAATACCGTAGAAAGCGTTATTTATCAAGGTAAACAAGTTTTTGTCACACGTTTTTAGTTAATGTCAAAATCAATAAAAACATTTACTTAATGCATAATTTACTTTCCGTAACAAATTTCTGGAGCAAGCTCGAACGTTGATTGTAAAAGGGTTTTCTAACTTTCGTTACACATTTCTGTGATAACGATCTCTTGATCGAATTTCGATGACAAATCCAGTTTCTTTCTAAAACACAACGTTGTGTTCAATTTAGCATGATGTACAAACTCCGTATTCCCGGCTTATATGAGTTCGGAAGAAACGCCGCTTTACCCTGACGTGAGTTCGTATTGCGGCGGTGAACGAAAATGAGTTTTTTTTTATAAAATGCCTTCAAGGAAACGAGAAACGCGTTTTGAATTGAGAGAGTAGTTCGAAAAGAGCGGCAAAGGCACTTTATGCTCGAGATGCACTCAAGATTTTTTTACAGAGGAAAAATTAGTTGATGTTTTGATCAAAGAAATTTTACTATGTAAGAATTTCGAGTGACGGGTATTAATAAAGAGTTATTGATCTTCAACTTATCAACGGATAGGCAAATATTGACACTCAATTCTTCCAAAGTTTATGTTGTTGCTCCGAGGTATTTTCAATTAGGCAGTTAATTTTTTGTTTAGTTTAAATTAAGCAATTTTCTTTTTAATTGCTATTTTAATATCGCTTAAATTTAACACAATACTTATTAATTGTTTAATGTTATTTATTATAACAAATTTGTTTATAGAAACTGAAATTTCATTCCAAATTTTACACTCTAAAGGTGGTTCAGACTTAAATATCTCCAAAATTGTCATTCTGCATTTTATGGGTGGAATTTTCGAGGAAACGGATCCGACAATAATTTCTACAAGTCAAAATCTACAAGAAAATCGTCACCTTAGAACTGGTTTGCCGCATATCCAGATCGCGTCCGAGGGATTTTCGCCTCTACTGCTTGGTGCAGATTTGCCGCATGTCGCACTTGGGCGAAGCGAAACATAGTTTAGATTCAGTGCTGATTTGCCGCATGTCCAAGCAGAAATCGATACAGTACCGTTATCCGTTTTTACGTACTTCCTTGCTGTTTTGCTTTTCAGCGTTAGGTTTGGGGTTGGGAAAGAAATCGTATTCAACTTCACGCGCAGAACAATAAGAATAATGTGAAATCAATAAAAAAGAGACTTCACAATTTTGATGAATCTGAAATTAAAAAAAAGCAACTGTAATTTGTGCAACTCTTTTTCTGTTGTTATAGATGTTACAAATATTTTCAAATTATTAGATTCGAAATTTTACAAATTTAAATTTCAAATAGATTTGTTGTTCGATAAACAAATAATTTAATTTTTTACTAAACAGTAACATTTTATTAACGATATTTCTACATCAATAATCACAAATAATAGATACATTTTTAATTTTTTAAATTAAAATGTTGTAAAAGTAATATGAAAATTAAAATTTCGAAGCAAAATCTGTTTAGGTGGATTTTGCTTCGAAATTTATTACTGGAACGTTTACAAAAATCAGCTTTTGACATAAAATGCTTGCAAATTTGAAACAGAATTGGAATGTTTCTTGACAATCATGCCTAATACATTTTTGACTTGTATCTTTTAAAAAGAATTATTTCCGAATTTATAGCTATTTACAATTTACGACTTACTTCAAGAACAAATTCCGTATTAGAATTTTACCTATAATAACTAAATAGATGTATGTTGTTAACTTATATAAGGTACCTTACATCGAAACGAGTAATTTGTTTTTTAATATGACATTGCCTTTCTTTATCATTCTATTTGTCTAACAATTATTGTTGGGCAATTATACGCGTGTAAATAAAAATAACTTTACAATAACTTATTTATGGGTAAATTTTTTTACCAATTAATTTAACTGGATGGTTATATGTAATGGTAATAATAGCCGCATAAAATTCACTCACTGTTTAGGTATACCAGATATCAAAAGCTATTAAATCCAAATGTTATTGTTTATTTTTTTTTATGTCTCGAGCGTAAGCTAAGGAACTATTGTAATCAAGTTCATCGGGCGACTGGCTACTTTTATGGCTTCTCAACGTTTCATGACTCCTATAATACGAAAACATAGGTCTCTCGTTTCCAGTTGATAAAACGCTGACCAACATTTGTAATCATCCTCCCCATCATATAACGTCATCTCCAACTTTTACAGCAATAAATGTTATATGATTTTTAAAAATAACATACTTTTTCATTTGTTGTTTATTGAGTTTTTACCCTAAGCACCCAGATTGAATTAAATTACCATAACCCTAATTTCTTGAGATTTTGGAACCAGGATATACGACATAAAGAAAGTTAAAAGAATTTGAAGTAATGTAATGATACTCGTTTTACATCAACATACATTTATCAATTAATTGAGCATCGTCCAAAATACTGTTCATAAATTATAAGTGCAGGAAGTTTATGCAAAAACAGGCAAATACATTTTTTGCGTATGATAATATGTATTGCTTTATTATTAAGTATCTACTCATTTATAAGAATTATTAAAATTAGTAAAAAAAAGTATTCACGTCTCTGTCTAGTTTAATACCTTACCTTATTAAAGTAATAAGTTTAATCAATTATGTAGTTAGCAAACAATGACGTTTAATTTATACTTAGTAGGGTTCACGGCATGTTTAATTCGGAGTTATAATTTGAGAATATAATTTACCCGTTTATTTATTTTTGTAGTTTAGTAGTACTTCAGCAAATTTAGAAAACTGTATGTTATTTAAAAATACGTGACAAATCACGAGGCCAAGCAATCTAGAGATCTGACTGCTGGTTTGCGCGGGAAATACTGCATACTTTTTAGATAAAAGGAGTCTATGATAAGCGCACGTAGGAGATGATAGACAGAGAGCTAATATTTAGAGCTAATGTATTGGAAAGAAATAGGACAAGTTTACGTGCGCACACCACAGCCTCCCTTTCTTCTCTAAACAGTTTGGGATCATACCATAGTATCATAAATAATAATTGACAAAGAGTTCGCAAAGGAATCCAACGGAAATATTTATACAATTGTTTACAACTACCAGTACAAATAATTCTTTCATTTTCAACTGAAAAGCGTATAACTATATTAAGTACTAGATATTATGGAGTTAGGGGTAATCAAATAGATTTGGGTTGCAGTCAACATAATTGTCACTGATACATAAGACATGGTAACGAATGATTTATTTCCAAATCCAAATATACTGCATTTACAGTTTTAAACAGTATCACTGCTAATTTTCTCTGGTTGCCCGACAATAGCTACTTGTAGTCAATATCCACGTAATCTAATAAAATACTGGAATCCAATTGTTTGAGACAACAACCTATTTTTACCCGAGTGGTCTTTATCAGTTTGAATATTTTATATAAAAAAATTACATATTAAGCTGCAATTTTAGTAGGACTGCAGCGAGTCAACGAACCGCCTTTACTCCGCCAATGCAAAGAAAATATCATTTTATTATCCTTTGTAAAAATAATTCCTTTCTGTAAAACACATTTAAATTTGGTACTCCGTATTTCGTTCACAATTCACCATTTAACAATGGAAATTAACAATGCAATATTTGGATTCTACAGTTTTTAGGAAAAATGAATGACTGCAATGAGTTTTATCAAATGTAGATTTTATATAAAAATAAAGAAAAATAAGTCTCTTTATTTTAAAAATATTTAGAAAAAATCGAATCAAAACATCAATAACTTAACATTCATTGTTCGTTATACTTAGTTAACTACTTCACCACGAGATTTCTAATATCGTTTCAATTTTTCATTTATTTCACATTATGAGTCCTTGCCGTATTTCTTGTTCTGCGCGTGAAGTTGATTAAGAAATCTTAATCTTAATTATCTCTGAAAAATGTATCTATTATTATCTGTAATTATTGATGTGGAAATATCATTTCCACAAATACGAATATAAGTATGCAGCATTATGAATTTTGTTGACTAAAA